TCCATACGCCGACCTGCCATCGCCGCAACCGCGGATGTCAACGTCATGCCGTGCATCACCGCGCCACCCAGCAGGAGAAGAGCATTGGACATGCTTGGCACCGTCGCGGGAACCGCAGACGCCGCTTGGATGACGGCCATCGCTAGAACGTTCCTATGGTTCATCCACTGCAAACGGATGAAAACCAGGAGGAACATAGATTCATCCCACTCGTCCATTTCCGTATCCATGCCGTGCGTGCACGTGTGATGGATTGTCGACGTCGTTGGCCGCGAGAATGTCAGCGTCACCTGTGTGCAAAAGGACCAAGGCCCACAGGCATCATCGCGGACATGCGAGAAGGACAGACAGGAACGAAGAGAAACACAAGAAAATTTGAATACAAAAAGCTGCCGTTGCGGGCAGGCTAACGGCAACAACGGTGCTGGGAAGGGTCCGACGGAAAGGACCCGGTTTCCTGATCCCAGGCACTCCGAAACCGCGTGTGTGGATGTCGCTCGGAGGGGGCACCGCGTCACTCAATGCCACCCAACACGTCGCCCCTTGGTCCTGCTTGGTCCTGCCCCAGACACCCGGACCTGTCTCTTATACACATCTAGATGTGTATAAGTGCTGTGTACATGAACTGTTCCATCGGTAGGGTGGATGTGATGGAAATAGTGTCCGTCTTTTTTTTTTTTTTTTTTTTTTTTTGGGTGCTCTCCCACACGGGCGGCTTTAGAACTGCTGTCGGATTTCTTCTATTGTGCTGCTTTCGAGAACAGTTGGCGGGAACCTGGATTGTTCTGAGACGAGATGAAATTTTCGATGTTGCCTTTCGTAGGAAGACGAACACGAAGCTTGCCTTGAAATTCCATGGTTCGTTGTATGTTCGTCTCTTTGTGTTTCAAGTTTTTTATTTCGCTCGTCGTGAACGCATTCAAATCATTGTATGATTTTCTTGTTGTTTATCTTCTGTTTTGTGCATGGGGAATTGCATCAACGAAAACAACAGAAGAATGGTGGCTGGAGTTTACTTTGGATGATATGGACTCCAGATGTTGTTGACGCGCTGATGACGAGCGCACACGATGGGCGCACACACACACACACACACACACACACACACACACACACACACACACACACATGAGTGGGTTTGTTTGTGTGTGTGTGTGTGTGTGTGTGTGTGTGTGTGTGTGTGTGTGTATGTGTGTGTGTGTGTGTGTGTGTGTGTCTGTGTGTGTGCCCATCATCAGCGCTTCCCGGCGAGAAGAAGAAGCGCATACATTATTAGAATTCTTTGTGTTTTTTTTTTTTTTTTTTTTGCGTCAGATGGAAAAATAACATTGCATGTTATCGGAATTCAGAAAAAAAAACACCAGTCCATTAATCAAGCAAACACACACATAAGCAATTAACGAACGAATCAGTCTATCATGCATCCACACATCAATCAACATATGAAGCACATAATCACTTCGTCGATGAGTCTTTCATCACACCGACCTCGAGTGACAGATTGAAGTTATTGGTCCATAACACAAAGAGAGATTGAGAGAGAGAGAGAGAGAGAGAGAGAGAGAGAGAGAGAGAGAGAGAGAGAGAGAGA